GAAAGAGAGAGAGAGAGAGAGAGAGTGTGCGTGTGTGTGTGAGAGAAAGAGAGAGTGTTTGAGAGAGAGAGAGGTACACGCAGCGGTACAGGCGTCTTACTGTGTTTTAAATGGTTAATAAATGCAGATGTCCGTGTCACCAGCTCGGACACTTTTTTGAACTGAGTTCGCTGTGTTACGGATCCATTCTTTATCATTGCGTTTGTTCTCCTTCATATTTTTTACGCTTCACGCACACGCACCGCGCGTCCCATTTCCAAAATACTATCCGATCTACGTACACGTCTGTCTGTTGTCGCGTCGTTTATAGTATTTCTGGATACTTCTCGCTACGCGAGTCTTTTTCCTGTCACGGGTGTGTACCGCGGGGTAACCGCATAAGTGATCAATTAACGAAGCGTAACTCGTGAAATTACCGTTTGCTTGGGAAAAACCGTGACTTCGATTCGACCTGCAGAAATTTCGGAAACGAGAGGCTTCTATTGGAATCTATTTAATATTATATACGGTATTAGAAGAGTTAATTGTATGTTTTATTATGGAGACACTAATAAACATTGTCTATATTGTTACCTCCGAGTGTACAGTAAGGCGCAGAAGTATTCGCTCACTGAGAATATAAATGCGAGCAGAGCTATGATTTCTATATTAAAGTAGATGGGCTTGGCACTAGTAGTAACAAGTGTAAAAGATCGAACATTTATTATAACAACGTCTCTTTACAAGATTAACGATACGGAAAGGTAGCTTCTCTGTTCTTTTCACATTCTGTACATAGATTTTTACGAACAAAAGAAAAGACTACTGAACTTTTTACTTCCAATCAAAATATTCAAATCTCATCTCTTTCCTAATGTTTCACGGTATACCGTCTTTCGCACCGATTTCTAAAATTACCGTGTACCAACGCGCGCTAGCACTTCCTGCATTCTTTAGTTTCTGTCGCGGTTGATTCGCGCGACGTCGATTTGTCACGGCGTTGCGGCAGGGAACGATCGGTGTCACGCGAGAACAGGTTCGATCGCAGTGAACGACTCGCCTCGTCCGTTATCTGTAGACTGCGGATTTTATGGCTCCAAAGCCTTCTCGATCCCCTGAAACACCGATGACAATTCAGAACCGACAAGAACACGCGCGATTTCATTGTACGTCGTTGCTTAATTACCTTTCTCTCTTCTAATTACCAAATCAAACACTTCGAAGAGCATCCAAGACTTCAAATGCAATCTCGCATCTCTATTTTCTTCGAAATACAACAAAACATTGAAACTTCTGAATAAAGAACATTCCAATTTCCACGAATTATTCTATATGAATCGTGCATCATTGCTTGAGTACCTCTGTCTCTTCGAATCATCGAATTAGACTCGCGCAGACACTTCAAATGCAATCCCAGATTTCTCTTTTCTTCGAAATAGCAAAACGTTCGGTAAGAGAAACTTCCGAACAAAGAAAATTTCTATAAACTGCTCTATATAGATCTATAATTAAACAATGATCCGCAATCTGCTGAATCGTTTCGAGGACCGCGAGTCGTTCGTCGTCGCGCAGGCCCGGGAATGTAAAATCTTTGGGCAACGATTTGATCCGCGCGTAATTTACCGTACCTGTCACTTACTAATTAAGTACGCAATCAAAGCAACCGACACACGCGATCGGCGCGGAACATTGATCAAAAGAACGAGCCTCGCCGTTTCCATGCCGACACGCGTAAACGCGTTCCAATGGCGGACGGCGGACAAGATGGCACGACGTACGTCCCCTTTTTATAAGAACCTTCGGAACTGAAGTTTTAAATAGTAACCGCGCGCGAGAGGTTTTAGACGTTTAAACGCGCCCCGTTCGTGTCTGTTTTCCTTGCGGGCATGCTTTTAGCGCGACACGCACCGTTTCGAATGTTGACAGGTAACATAGATTCCTTAGGGTACAGTTAGTGCGTCGTTGTACACTGTTAACGATAATAGATAGGAGACGTTGACAGTTGACGTTAAACTATAGTCTTACAGGTAGTTTTTCATCGTTAGGATGCCGAGGGTTACTCTTCCTCTGTCCCAGTTCGGATCAGAATTGATTAGAGTTCAGATTAAATCGGGATTCATCGTAATTCAGGATCATTTTTAATCAGGAATATAGGAAATACCGATCAGTCGCGAGACGAGGGATTATTAATTATCCAAAGAATTGAAACTCACGACTTCCGCTTTGTCTAATTAGGCGTTACTAAATCATTGTTAAATCCGTTTGACAACTTCTGCGCCATCTTTCGATATGATCACGTATTCGTAATTTTTACCGATTCACTCGTGTATTTCGACGTGAACGTCGCATCGAAGCGCGCTAATTACGTTGGCTATTAACATTGACAAGTCTTTCTAACAACAATATTTCACCGAAGGCAGAGCACATTCTTTCCATCGAAATCCGTAATATCAACGATGAAACGATTGTTGCTAGGTAATTTTTGCTAGAAACGTTATCGGCGAAGATCATTTCGAGAATCTGGTTGCCTCGACTGCGTTAAATGCGACTATTTCGGCATTACTCGTCAATCGACAAGTAGAGCGCCTAGAGAACGCCGGCTCCTTTCTAAAATTCGAAAACCGTGATCGTAACGAATCGATCTTCCGATCGGTCGGTTGAATTCCATTGTTCCCCGAAACGAGGGGATGACATATCACAACCATTGCGAACGGCCGCGTAGATGAACACAGCGAAATCAAACGCGTCTCCGGTTTTACGTTCCCGTGATCGTTGCTCGTTTCTCGGAAGACTACTGTTCACCTAGATAGTACAACAGGAGTAGAAGTTCCTCGGCGGCGTGTTAAGGAAGCGGAGTTAATTAAGTAGGGAGTAGCGAACCGCGACAATTAGAGCCGATCAGAAACGATTTCGCAATAGTCTACGATGGACGTTCGGCGTCGGCTCGCTGGAACGTTCCGTTTAGAAAATTCGTTTAGAAAACCGGCTGATCACTTCGCGTCCTTAGAAACCTATAACGCGGAAACTTGTAAGCAGAAATGTAAGAAGTGCAGGAAGCATCCGGTAGATTAATAATCCGACAAAGAAGGAACTAGAATTTCGAGGAGGGAACGTTGACACTAATCGTACCGACCGGTTCATCAAATTTGAAAATTCCGCGTCCCGATTCGTTCATTGACCTTCACTTTGTAAACGTCAATTACCCGATCGATCGTTTTTTCCCCATCATTTCTCTCTTTTTTTATCTACTTCCACCAAGGACAAATTTGTCATCAAACTTGATAAAGGTACACAACCTTTATCCAGTTATTCGACTGGTTACGGTAGGAATCAGTATGTACAGTTGCGTTCAAAAGTGGTCAGATCATTTTTGGAATTTTCCTTAGGCAGTGAACGCTTTAAGAACATTTCGTTATTATGCACCATCTATTTTTTATACACATTCTTTCTACTAAATAATTCAGTATATTCAAAGGATTTCGGGCAGAGTGTTTAAAAAATGGTTGTTGTGTTATGGTTGTACTCTCTGTATCAATAGCAACGCATCGATGACACTTCGTTGCAAGAACGATCCAGCCGGGAACTTTTGAACGCCACTGTATATAGAACGCGGCGATACGGTTAGTGTTAAAAGTAACGAGCATCCTCGTCCGCTTGAGTTAACCCGTTGCTTTCATCCGACTAAAAGTACACGTGATCGCGAAACGATCTATGGTAAAACGGATTACGTAACGTCTAAGCATGCGACTGAATAATCAAACCTGAATATTATCGTAATATCGCGTAAGCACACGGTAGAAGACGATAGTCAACGATTGTATAAAGTTGTACGAGCATTGTTATATGAAAAGAGAAAAAAAGCGAAAAGTCTCTATATATGTATAAATATAAATATATATACGATATGTATCTATGTACATGTACACACGTAACGATTGATAAAACCAGGGTAAACAATACAACTATTGTCCTACGTGTAACGTGTAAGGAACGCGTAGGTTCTTCGTTTTTTTTCCGTTTCCTTTCTCTTCTTCGTTTCGATTCGATGTAACGCGTGTTTGTCACTTATCGAAGGTGGGACGTGTGCGATCATACGACGATAATAACGATAGCTGCGACACGTGTTTCGATTGTAAATAAAACATAACGTTTCATAGAGAAGCTCTGTTGGATCGGTGAGAAAGTAAACGAAACGTCTCGTTCCCGGGCGCCGCTCGATCGCCGGGGACGATCTCGGATTCCTAACTCTTTACGATAAATCGAATTTTATTAGGCGAACAAGTGTGTGTTTTGTAAAACGCTTGTCCCCCCGTCTGAACGTTCGCGTTGGTTCAGGCGGGCCGGATGTTCTAGCGGTTTAGATGTATACAATAGGGTGATGTCCCTTTATCGACCTATCGCGTTGACTGACTTTTAACTGAGGAAATAAATCCAGCTAACTTGTACAATATCCATTCTTGCATGTATATAGCCACTGAACGTGCGCCGCTGTTCGAAGATATTTGACGAAATGCCTCTTCTTCTTCTTTCGATCGGATGAATTAGGACGTAGATCTGTTTGATGGAGCGAACGGAGATCGGTTTATTGGGGGAATTGAGCGACAGTCGTGAAATGATCAGCATCGACGTCTTTATTTCGTTTCTCGGGTGGATCAGATATTTTTCAACAGCGGTGTACATTAAGGTTTACAAGTGATTTGTACAAATTTCGAACGGTTTCGAAGTTCAACAACGTCGGACGTTACTGGACTGCGGATTTCGCAGGCGAATGTAGATTTTTACGCGTTCAATTTATAGAAACGGGCCGTCGAGAGGGGACTCGTGCGACGCGCGTGAGGGAGGCTTACAGTTTTTAAGCGTGCGACAGCGAATTCCGGGGAATCGCTTACGCTGTTGATGCACGGTGTCCGCAGTCTAGATATCGCGCGATCGAAACTGATACCGCTCGCTTCTCCACCGATCCAGCAATATTTGCCGACTCCGGTTCCGTGTGGCTGGCTCGAACGCCATCGCGTTAACGTGCTGAGAGAATCAAGACTACAGATGAAAAGAAAACTCGAGGAAAGCCAAGGAGAAAAAATTGGGGGGTGGAAAAGAAATACCTAAAGGGAAGCGAAACGCAAGTGTTGGGGTGAACGGAGAGTTTTGTCGAGAAATTTTAGGAGTGAACGGGCATTTGTTTGAGACAGAATAATTTGGAATTGTAATTTATGATTATAATTTATGATGTAACAGAATTTATGATTATAAGTTATGGTATAACGTAATTTGTGATTATGAGTTGTGATGTAACATAATTTATAATTGTAATTTAGGATATAACAGAATTTATGATTATGAGTTATAACATAATTTGTGATTATGAGTTATGATGTAACAGAATTTGTGATTATAAGTTATGATATAACATAATTTGTGATTATAAGTTATGATGTAACATAATTTATAATTATAATTTATAATATAACATAATTTATGATTATAATTTATGATACAAAATAATTAATTCGAACATCTAAAATATATGTTCCTCGGTTTAATACAACTGTTCTCCAACTTTCTGGCAGGAAGTGCAAAAGGATGAAGTAATCAGGAATATTTCACAAATTCATAGGAGTTTCGTCGACAAAACCTTCCGTCCAACTCAATAAAACTCCGTAGACTGTCGTAGATTTATATCACTCGTTACTGCTCCTGCCTATTCGCGAATCTTGTGACTGTAATATTCTTGCGACACACAAGTTGGACCAAAGTCGTTGTGAGCACTAGGCCGTAAACTAGAAGTCGCTTCCGGCCGATTTCGTTCGCCGTCTCGAAAGTTTTCCGGTAGCTTGTATCGTTGATTAAAGTAGAATCACGGAAGTTTATGCGAATCATCGTAATGATAACGAGATCGAACGAAATTTCAGCTTGTTAGTGAACGGTTTCAGCGAATTAATCGACACGTGTACCGTTCGAGTAATTGGTACTTTGATATTCTCTGTCCTTTTAGTCGAGTTCCGAACATAATTAAGGGAATGTATTATTTTCTAATGAAACTGTACCTTGTAAGTATCAAATAATTGAATGTAGACGTTCGATTTGAATTAAATTCACTCGAATCATGAATACTGGAATAGTGGTTCCTCTTAAAGACTTCAATGGGTCGTAATTGCATAAAGTTCTGAAGTTTATTGATGTGCGTCAATGGATCAGCTGTAATTCCAGTGAAATACTGATCGTTTCGCGTTTGTTCCTCTTGGCACTCAATGAAAGCTGATTAGCAGATGAATTATAATCCCCGGAACACCTTGTTATTATTTCGATCTGCACGTCACAGACAGCAGAACACACTAATTACTTATTTTCACTTTATAAACGGCTCCAATATGTTTATCTGATTAAAACAATGAATTCGTTGCTATGTATTCTATTAACACAATCTCTTTACAATCCCTTTAGCCATTGAAATCTATAAAAGAATTGTAATAAATGATATTAAAAATTAGGTAGACGTTCGATTTCTTTGTTGTAAGTCGCAAAATTGTAACCAGAAATGTAAGACAGCGATCCCTCGGATGAAACTTGGCGAAAATGCTAAGATTAAATAAGAAGAGACCTTGTTGATCTAATATTTAAATATACTCACGATGTTCGTAGGAATTCCAAACACTAGCGTCTATTTTTCTGTATAGGTGCGATACGAGCTTTCTCATTGGATGTATTTGATTAGGATGACTCCAACTCGCGTTAGTGAAACGTGCAACAACGTGGCTTCATTTTCAGTAATTTTAGGAATTGTGTGAACGACGTTGTCTAAACGATGCAAGCTATTGGAGGCGCGCGATGAAATTAAGCTCAGCTAGAACTTGGCGAATTTCGTATCCGCGATGCTCACATCAGCAACGCTCGAAAACCGGAAGATACACTTTGTAGACGTCAAAGTATTTGCTGACTCTTACCAAAGTTACCTACCGCGAGTCGCTTTCTTCACGTTTCGACACGAAGAGAAAGAATTTGCAAAATTAGTTCCGAACACGAGGCCGCGACACAATGATCCTTCTTAGCGGATGTAATGACTTTCGTGATGCACCCGTTTTACTTTCGGATACCAGGCGCCTATTAAGATTTGAAAATCAATTCCGCATTTTACATTCGCCAAGACGTGAATGTCGCATTCTTTGTAAATATATATATACATATATACATATAATATAGTATAATAATGTTGAACGGCGAGAGAATTACTACTGTCATGGTATATATATATATATATACATGTATATATATATGTATATTATTATATATTGATAGATTGACGATAATAATGTAATGATACTACTACAAAGTGAATGTTGCCTTTTGTCATATTGGTTAATTGTAAACGATGAATGAAATAAAAGATAAATAATGATAAAGTACGTACGATTATATTAACGATGACTAAATAACAATTACTATCCATTGTATTACGAGTACTAATTAACGACTACTGTGTACATGAAGATTCGTACGATTGTAAATGATATGTGTTGCGTTGATATGTAACGCGTCCCTACATTAATGTGGGGGTTGTGAAAATAAATCAGCCATACACTTTTTTGGCTTACTATATTTTCCCGTCACACACGCATGGTCAATATATGCGATCTATGTATTAGATTATTCAATATATATATATATGTATATATGGATCGCATGAATGATATTCCTTTCTTAAGAAACATTAGTGCCTCGAGTATCATAAAATTTCGGTTATCCTCATTTATTTCTTGTTTCACAGATATAGTATAAATACTGTTTCTACCAGCACGAAGACGAGTAATTAATCTTATTAGATAGACACAATGGTTATCTTAACCTATTGTTGTGCTTGGCAAATGTTCCTGGACCATCAATTTGTTTACAGTAGCCTGGGTAGTTAACTGTTGTGCTTCGACAAGACCTAAAGGAACACTCGTCTTGTTTGGCATGTGGAAGAAATACAATCTGAATCCCACTGCCAGGAGGACATGCAATCCAAGGATTACCGCTACATATATAACTCTATATCTTCCTGTAAGTTAATTAAAATTGTTTTGATTTGTGAACCCTTCATACACAACAACTTGTAATAAATAAAAACAGTAAATGATCCCATTAGCAACCAGTTGATTATTTTTTCTTCATTTATTCAATGGGAATATAAGGTAAACGAAAAATATCTATTGTTTCAATGATCACATTTTTGTATGTTTGGTAATGGGATCAGTTATTTTATCTCTACGACTTACCTGCAATAACAGGCAATAGAGATCTTAGCAAAACTCCTCCAGACAGAAATGTTGCTACAATTACTAAACTCCACTGTAACCATTGAATTTGTATGGTCCACAGAAAAGCTACTGGAATATAGATGGCTAAAGAATACCCATAAAGACAAAGGATTTCTAAGAGGCCTGGGGTTGCATATGACTAAACAGAGTTATTCTCTTTTAGATCTATTGTTATATACCGTATTTAAAAAGTCATAAGAAGTTATACTTTACCTCGATTAATTCCTCTTCTGTGTTTCTTGCACTTGTGGTCCACTTTAATGCACCCCACAGTGTAATTGGTAGCAACCATGCATATAAAAATATGCAGGTAGCTGCATGAGATACAATATGAAAATCGTACCTCCAATGATATTTGCTTGAATTTGCTGTTTGTAAGTAATCAGCTATGTTCCCGCTAACAGCTATAGAGAATACCAATGTGATGCAAATCCAAAATGGTCCATAAAGATCTGGATTGGGTCGTATGTGAGATATCAAATAGTTCTCACTATCATGAGGAACCATAGAACGTTTTATTCTCTGCACAACATCATCTGTATTCACATTAAAGAACTTTTGATAATATTCTATCGTCCAAAAACTGTGTGATGATGTGGCTAGAAAAGAAAACAGAAATGAAGTTGGAGACCAGTATACAAACAGTTGACAGTTTGAGAGACTGTCACAGTGACAACAGTGACTCTGGATAACTGATCAATGTTAAAAATATTGCAGAAGCAAGAACCTTCGCTTTTATCAGGCATTTCTTGGAGGTCCTCAATAATGCCGATACCCGTTGAGTCATTTGATAGGTTATTGAAACCCTGATGACTAGAAGTGTGGACATGTAATTGCGCTTGATCATTATTCCCTCCGTGGTTTATTGAAGGAAAATCTTGGAACGAGATGAACTGTGATTCACTCGGTTGTGCCTGATTCCCGTCCATGGCTACTTGTTTCAAACCTTTCTTTGCTTATTTGACAACTGTCAGACATATACGCATCGCAAAATTCTACACGCTGCCACGACTCCGTTGATAATCAGCCTATCACGGTCAGAACCATCTACAATCACTGATCCAATTTTTTGTTAATAGGATTGTACCACTGAAGGTAATACAGGTCAGGAATCAATGGCAATATTGTTTTAAATCCTCTTCTTTTACATTACACAATTAGGGATTAATAGGTAAAAATTCATTAAATCTTGTTCCATTTTAGACTAATTTGAGAATTGTGAAAACCAATTAGAATTTACCTACTAATTTGTAAATCTCCAATATACTGGTCAGAATAGAATTATTCAAGTATATCATTGTAAATTATTCTTATAAGAACGTTATTAACTAATATAGTAATCATATACAGTTTGCGTACTTTTATACTTCGGCTTGTGTAAACGTCACCTACAGTACGCTTCGCCATGAAAAAAGTTAATGTTTTTACCGATGACTATTGATGCATCAGTAATCTCTCTGCTCCTAGGTAGGAGTAGATTAGTAATTTTGACAGTTGGAATAAGATCCACCGGATCTCTTGTTTGAACATAATTTATTACCAAACTGTTCATAATGAGTTCAGTACTGTGCAATTAGTGATTTCATAGATAAGGTAAAGAATTTCTTCGATTTCCTTTTCGGTAAGTATGTTTTGCATTAAAAAAAATATGTTTCAACAATTTTATGTTTGCATACAGATAAAAAGAAATGATGGAAAACTAAACTGTGAATAAAAGTGATTGTTGTACTCCAGTAAAACAATATTTATACAATATTCTTTGGTAGGTTAGGAAGTCGTCAGAAAGGTGTGTTTGGTGGCAGTTAAGATTTGGCACAATGATACAACGATCTTCTAAACTATTGAGGCTTCTCCATAACATTAGCCGTCACAACAATGACTGTCTGTATATATTTCAAGTAGGATATGTGAAAAGATGTGCTAGTACTATGATAACATGCAATCATAATGCCAGATACAAATTACAAAACATAACTAACACTGTTGGATTAAAAGAGAGAGGACAGATGCATGATCAGAGATGGATATTTATTCCAATGTGCAAACCAATTTCTATTTTTGCAAGAACTCAGAAAGAAGAATCTGGCAACAAAGGGAAGAATTCAGAAGAACTAAAGCAAAGGGTAATAGAGTTGAAGGAAGATGATTTAGGTCAGTTGAAGGAGGTAACATTAAATGTAAAACCTGTTTCTACTACCGATGATCAAGCTAAGCAGGAAAAATCAGAGAAAGATGGTACTAAAGAAGGTACAAAAGTTATGTTTTTTTATTCATTGAATTTGTGGTTTATTGAGTTTTTATGCATTTCTTTTTTTAAAATACCTTTCCTAATTAAGTACTTTTAATTTGTAGCCAAGAAGAAAAAAGTTGAAAGAGGTACATCATCCTTAGAGCGTAATTTTATTACACCAGTTAGAGCTATGACTGATTTTTTATTAAAGCCGGCTGATCTTGAAAATTTACCAAAGACCAAAAGAAGATCACCTTATGATTTTGAACCACCAATCACTGTGTATTGGAGGAAAGATGTTGAAGCCAAGTAAGACAACATATACTGATAAAATTATGTCGTTGTATTGTTTAAAATCTACAATATTTACAATAATGTTCAGTAAGCTTGGTTTATCTTTAGAGCCATAGAAGTTTGGGGATCACAAGAAGCACTCTCCAGGGAACTTCGTAAAAAGAAATTTGAGCAGAAAGTTTATCAGCAAAGTAAGATTTATAAGTTTTCTTGGATAAAATTTATAATTGAAAGTAGCACTTGACAATGTTGTGCATGGAGTACAGCCAATCCAACTAGAAATTTGATCATCATCATTGTTGTAAGGTGTCTCTCCATATTGCAGGGATTATTTTCATACATTTATTAATATAATATGAATATCCACTTGATAAATTCTTTGGTATAAACATTGCTACCTGCTTTTCGTCGTAGATGTATTTGCTTTGAAACAGAGACTGAGAGATTATAGGCGAGAAATTGGTAGCAAGTCTGAGATTAACCAAGAGCAAGAAGGTCTTTTCGGAAGAGCCGGTAAAGTAGTCCTAACTGCAATTGCGATGTAAGTTTTATCTTCTTAACTGAGTTTTGTGATGCCTACTTAAACAATAAATTACTTCTTTTTCAGCAATATGAGCAATTTCATATGTAAACTGATTGCTTGGTTATTCACTGGTTCACACAGTATGTTCGCGGAAAGTGTACATTCTGCTGCAGATACTTGCAATCAATTAATATTATTATATGGTATTCATAAATCAGTACAAGTGAGTATAATGTACAGTACAGTATATATTAATATATATTGAAATTCATATAAAAAATGTTTCAGAATCCTAATCCTGACCATCCATATGGTTACACGAATATGAAATATGTTTCCTCCTTGATATCTGGTGTTGGTATCTTCTGTGTTGGGGCGGGTCTGTCAATTTATCATGGAATAAGTGGTCTTGTCAATCCTACAACTATAGAACCGTTTTATTGGGCGTACTGTGTGTTAGCTGGTTCTTTGGTATCTGAGGGTGCAACGTTGTTGGTTGCAATTCAGACTTTAAAAAGGGGAGCCGAAGAGAGGCAACAAACATTTAAAGAATATTTATTGGCGGGACAAGATCCTTCTGTGAATGTTGTACTTCTAGAAGACATGGCATCCGTAAATATTTAATAATTGTAAAAAAAGAAATCGTATCGGGCTCTTTTCCGAGTTTATCATAAGCGTTTTTTATTAGGTTGTTGGTATTTCTATTGCAACCATCTGCATGAGTTTGACTTCATACACAGGGAATACGATATTCGACGCTACCGGATCTATCTTAGGCGGTTTTCTTCTCGCCGGTGTAGCAGCATTTATAATTTATACAAACACTGCCGCCTTAATCGGCAGAAGTATATCCCAGATCGAACTTCGTAAGATAAATGCTGAGTTGGAATCGGACATAATGGTAATGATCTTCATTATTACTGTAACGTGGAACATGTTATTTCATTAATCGTCTGTATATTAGGTACGAGCAATTTATGATGTCAAAGGTATCGACATGGGCAATAATTTAATTCGATACAAAGCCGAAATAGATTTCGACGGGAGGGAATTGACAAAAGCCTACTTGGACAAGAACGATCTTAACATGATGTTAAAGGTATAAAATTTTTATAAAACACCACTTTGACGAGCTCCATGAAAAATATCGTACTTTTAGGAAGTGAAAGCTGTGCAAACTGCCAATGATTTGGAAGTGTTCATGTTGAAGACCGGCGAAGGTATCGTCGATATGGTCGGTGGTGAGGTGGATAGAGTGGAGCTCAGACTGAAGGTATTACAAATTCGCTTGTCTCACCTTCGACATTTTTTTCCCATTAGCATTTACGATTTTATTTTCACGACACTTGCAGAAGAAGCATCCGCGGATTCGACACTGCGATCTAGAGATCCTATAAACTTGCTTTTCTACGGGGATACGGATGCGACCGTGATAAGAATTCTGATGTAAATATTATGTAATATTGACAATAAGCCAATATATCGCTGTACTACTATTTATATAGAAATAGTGAATGTGTCCACACTGATGACCGACAAAACAAATAAAGCACTAGGTGCGAAACTCGTGTTCTATGATTCCACCATTAATTTCATTTAAGACTTTCTATTTTTAGTTTCCCTGAAATATTATTCCTAGTCTTGTTTTGGTCCCTGGTTGATCATTAACGTGACAATTAATAAATAACCGATTACTATTCCAATTTTTCATGAAATCACGCAGTACACGTGTCGATTTTGTACAAAACCCTCGGGTATCAAAGTGTTGACGCGGCCACTCATTCCCTGATTGTAATACGACTACTATTGTAACGCTCGTATCATTGTGAGCATGTAAAGCGATTGTGAAATTCAAGAAGCACCAATCTGTGATTGGACACTGCGCCATCGTCGCTTCTTCGTTCCCTCGAATTATCGATTCTTTCTCGTCGCAGTCAACGTTGGATTACAAACGACAACAAACGGTTACCATGGATACTTTCCGGCTATTTACGAGGGAAGCACCTGCAGCTCGGTTCCCTTGTGTTCCTCGTGGATAGCGTCAGATATGAGCTGGCCCATTCGCGTCGTTAGGAGGGTCGAACGTTTTTACGCGATCGCCGAGACGATCAGATGAGCAGTGTTGAGTAAATCATTATTTCACACAGTAAATACTAAACAATCCATTTTGCTTTAAACCGTACGTGTATCTTCAACTTTCAGTAATTACTTTATTCCACTTTTGAAACAATACCTGAAGACAATATTTCATTCCAACGATACTGAAAAATATTACTTTATGGTCGTACTCTGTAACGTCACAATATTATTCCTTCAATCTATTTTCATAAACAAGTTCAAATATGAAACACAAGATTAAATATTAACCCTTTGCACTCGGAAGTTTCTCACTACAAATGTCTAACATTTTTTGCCTAGGCAAAGACGATACTTGAAACAAACTCGAAGAGAAATCGCAAATTGAGGAACAAAGCTATTTTACTTCAATATTTCACGCAACGAGGCATTATACGAAGTTCAACATTATCAGATTTTATAGTTTTACTGCGAATCAAGTGGTGACCGTCACCTCCCGAGTGCAAAGGGTTAAACTTTATACCTTACGTTATTGGAATAAAAATATTCTGCAAAATGTTACTTCCTTTTTTTGTCAACATCGATCAGTTTATTTGAACGGGACGGTATACAATAGTTTGAACAGTGTTTAAAACAGTTCTTCACTCATTTCTATCAGCCTCGCTAATGAGTCGTTCGGGCGAGAGACTTTCGAAACGATGGAGTACCGTGAACGTTCCTCGGAGGAACTCCAGCAGCTCCGAGGAGTCCTCGTTAGTCGCTGGGAGCGTAGAGGGGCCAGTGTACGCGAAGAACGCTAGCACACCTTTGCGAAACAGGTGGTCGGACTCTGAAGAGATCAACAGGTCCTCGCAGAATCAACGGGACGCGAGCGAAGTCTCGGAAGAGGAGTCCGAAGAGGAGGAATCCGGGAGGTCGAAGGGTCACGACGGAGCGCGTGGCAATCGGTAGAGATGAATAATTTTAATCTTTGCACTCGAAAGTTTTTTTCGTTAACACGTCCCCTGCCGCGTGGGGCGTACGCTGAACTTTCCGTTCAAGCCATTTGGAATTATTAGAAAATGAAGAATTTTTTAAAAATTCATTATTTAGAGAGACTAAAATTATTGTGAGTTACTCTAAAAAGAATTATCGAACTCATCGTTACTTCCAAGGTAGAATTACAGATTACACTTTATCCAATCCTTAGTAATCGGGGGAAGCGTCAAGATGATCAAGAAAGATTCGCCAGTAGGCAGAAGCGAAGACGCAAGTCCCGCGGGAAACAAAGACAGGACCGACGCCACGAGGAGTCTGATAGCAGAAAGCAAAAGACCTCGAGCTCTTCTAGTAAACGCCACGGCGAAGGAGACGGTGATCGTTCGAAAAGGAAACATCAAGGTAAATTTATAGTAGACTCGATTATTTAGGGATTGATGGATGAGATGAGAGGTCCAAAGTGAAACTGTAAAACTCGGACGTACGTATTTCAAAAAAATTAAAGTACAGATTTTAAAGAAACATGATATATAAAAAACTGAAAGAAATACTGATACAAAAGAAATGAAGCAAAGAGAGATCAGAATTTTGAAGAAAGTGTGACACGAGTTTAGTCTAAGTCAATTATTCATGTGAGAGGAGAATCAATGACTATCCTCTGTACCCTGCGGCTCGAGGGAGACTGAAGATATTTTGCGTTCCACCATGTACTTATAGGCCACCCACTCTTAATGCAACTCGTACGCATGCTCACAGAGCCAGTGAACAAGCATTACTCTCTCGAAATCACATCTTACGTACAGATGATTCTTACCCTTATAAGCATTACGGATTATAGCTCGAGCGGCAAGAATTATTCGCTCGTGTCTATAACAGTGGTTTAACGCGAATATAACGTTGAATGCTCGAGTCTTTGAAGCTGCAGGGTTTAACCCTTAGCATTCCGGAAGTTCATTAACACGTTCCCTGCCAGACCGTTTTTTGCGACTTCTATCGAACAATCCTGCTGCTATATATTTGCTTAACCATTCGAAAACATGAAACTCATCGTCAGAAATCGAATTAGAAATGCAACATTTCGATCTAATTTCTTAAACACTATTGACAGCTAACTTGAATATAATTTAACGAACCACTTTCAGGGTTGAAATCTCGTGATACTAAACCTGTTGAATATTTATTTGTAGAAATAAACAACATAGTTTGAAAAGCTAAATGTATATTTGTTAACCCTCTGTGGGCCCGAGTAACTTTGAAGTCACATATCAGTATATTGGCATCTTGTTGGTTTATTTCATTTTCCACTGAAAGTGGTGAATAAAATTAAGTAATCAGTTGACTTAAACTTTTATAGGCTCAGGCGTGAAAGTTTCGCGTCATTGTAACTTGAAAGTTGCAAAATATACTCGTTTGATGAAATTATTGAAACTATTGAATACATTCTTAATTCGTACTCATGTGTGAATATTTATTAATTTTGTACTGCATAGATTTTGTTATAATCACGAACAAAAAGTCGGCCCATAGAGGGTCAAGATACCCATAATTGACTGCATGATGAATTTTTAAGAAATTGTGTTAATGAAAAACTGCGTCCAGAAAGAATGAACGAAATAAACCGAGATACACGAGGAACACCGTTGTTACACAGGGGACGACGAGTTGCCGATCACCGAGATTCTGAAGAGGAGCCAAGAGAACCCGCGCATGAAATACGAGCATCAGCTGCCGCTTCCGGAACTGACCACGGACAAGATCTACGTTCAGCACAGAGGAGGTTTCAGCGCGATGAAAATTAGATCGAGAAGTTCACAGTTAGGGCAGAAGCTAAAAGCGACGGGAAACGATGATGACGCTGAACACCGGGACACCCCGCCCATAAAGGTTGCCATTATGGTCCAACAGCTTTGGAAGAGTTCAGGTCTCGTGTTTCAAGGTCTTTTGGGCGGCATGGCCCTCATGCATTTCATAATGGCAAGCAACTATTTTATTCACCCTTTGCACTCGGAGGTTATTCACTGGAAATATTTAACATTTTCCGACGAGATACAGACGACACTGAAACTAATTTAACGATAATTCACAGATCAATTAAGCGACGAAGTAATTTTATTGAAATATTTCCTATAGCAATGCAAAGTTTCATTTAACCCTTTGCAGACGACTGTCGACATTTCGACGAGAAATGTTCATATTTGGAAGATCAAGCAAACGAGTGAGTTAATTACTAACATCTAGAGATCTGCACAGTTTCCTTTTTGTCTATTGATTAAGCGATTGGTATCACTTAGTTTCGTCTGTTGAAGGTTTTGTACATTCCTAAGAACCTTCGTCCGCGAAGGGTTGAAATACTAAATATTCAATTTTATAGTTTTGCTGTATCAAGTGGCGACTGAGAGTCACCTCTCGAGTGCAAAGGGTTAATGATTCTCTTTTCGATAACGTCTTTACACTTTCCTGAATATTTTCTCACGTTCCAGTTGCAGGTATTCTTCGATGCTTCCGTAGAGTTCGTCGAAGGCCACTCGACGATTTGCGAGATTTATACGAACATCTTTTCTTTCCTCGTTACTCTGTGCATCGTCTCTGCTCTCGATAAGTATGATGCATAGTTTGGAACCTTGCGATGATTTATAGCGTTTCTTCCCTATAGATGTGCTGTTCGAATTTTATAATTGCAATTTCGATTCGTGCAACGATACGAGTATAGCGGCGAGCAAATGTTTTTGATGTTTATGGTCTGCGAATGAAACGTATTTAGACGTTTGAATTAAAGCGAATCTGGATGTCTACAGGGAACTGACGCTGTACTTGAAATGCAGTTATTATAAATTGTCTGTACAACTTCCGTTAGGTTCGATTTAGCTCGCTTCGACTTGGATCACCTGCGCGAGATCTATTTCGACTACAACAGAGCTGTACTCGCTGTTCCATTGTATTTGGTGGTCTTCTGTCTCCATCAAGTTTGCGTCAACACAGACAATCGGCTGTCTTTGGTACACTATTACAGATCGAACTATAGTTTATGGGAGAACGTGAGTAAAATATTAGCTCGTCCCATAAGTAATATCGTCTTTCAACGCTAACTTCTATTGCGATAAGTGAATACTTATATTTTTTTATCACTAGATTTACGGATATTTATTGTACAGTTTATTCTATTGTTTCTAGAAAGATTGATGTTCGTTTAGATAGAAAATCAAATGTTTAAAAATGTATTATTGAATCAATCAACATCGACCCAAATATTTACCAAATAATGTTTATAAAATTCAATATGAAACAAATTGACTCGTTCCGTGAATCTAGTGTTAATGGTTGACATATCGACTATTTAGTGTACGACCTCTCGCCATTTTCTGATTAATCATTAACACGTTGGATGCCACGAGATCACCATATCGAATTACTATAATTTATTCAATCGAAAGGTGATTATTTGGAAACTTTCCTCTTTACAAACAATACTACCTAATGCAGTGACATTCGACAAGATGAACCTGCAATAATAATAACTATTACATAATTTGATATTACATTATTTCCATTTTGCATATTTTTCTCGGCAAAATCGTGCAGCAAACGTGTTAGATTCCATTATCGAGGAACTCCTACTTTGCTCATTAAAAAGTTCATGAGAAACGATAGTATTTATAGAATGATCTAACACTTCCAAATTCCCTTCAATCTTGGGATACTAAGATAATCCTCCATCCGTTTTCCATTCTAGGCTACGGATGTTCAAACTTTGTTAACCGATTTGAACAGCTGGCAAAAGATATCCATATCCAAAGACGTCCTCGCGGTGCTGGCCTGGTTCTTCATTTCCCTGGACACCAAGGATGACGCGTTTCTGATTCACTTACAGTCCATGGAGAAATACGCCAGCAACGAAGAGCCTAAGCAGTGAATCATCATTTAACCCTCTGTAGGCTCGTGTGTCTTTGAAGTCACATATCAGTATATTGGCGTCTTGCTGATTTATTTCATTTTGCACCGGAAGTGGCGAATAAAATTAAGTAATCAGTTAACTTAAACTTTTGTACGCTCAGGCGTACGTCATTATAACTCGAAAGTGACAAAACATATTCGTTTGACGAAATTATTGACAGTATCGAACACATTGTTCATTTGTATTCATATGTGGATATTTATTAATTTTGTACTGCATGAACGAAAATTCGGCCCATAGAGGGTTAACATCATCTCGCGCGTCAAACCTGTGATAATCATGTTCTCTTACCTTGCGTCAAAAGAAGAGCAGACGTCGAACATATAGAACACCAGTTAGGAAACAGGGGAATACGCACCGCATACGATTTTAATGTTTATTCGTAACAGAATAGGGAATACAATATTTATAAAGTTCCTCTAGACTCTAACAGATAATACACGTACATGTAATACCAATGAAGACAATAACATTAAGAATAAAATATAACATATGGCGCGATCGTACAATAGTAAAATATGTTCTTAGACTTCGTCTCAAGCACGGCGCGAGCATCAGTCGACGGTTCCGCTGATCCACGGGATTCGAAGCCACATCCTCGCGCGACGAACGAGCGGAATATAAAAGATCTCACGCGTTTTAAGGAAATCGTCAAGTTACCGCATGCCACAGTTTCCCTTTCGATGCATAGAACGCGTTGCCAGAGTTTCGTGAAAAAACACGAACCACCCTGTACCGCAGAATTTCCCCCGAGCGATAAACAACAAGAAGAAACGGTACGCCGAAACGTCAAACGGGGATTCGTGCACGCGAGAGCGTATCTTTCGGCGAGAAATTTAACGCTCGAGGTATAAATCCCTTATCGTACAAGCGGCGACGCGAATCTCCAGCGGAGTCGTCGACGGGGCGCAGCCGTCGCTCTCGTTGCACGACAAACTTGTCATAAATAATGTGCGAAGGCTCGTATTAACCTGCGAAGCAACAGATAAATATATAAATACTGTACGTACATTTACAACGCTAGACGCGTCTCTCCGCGAATATACATCGCCGATAATTTAAAATATCTCTGGACCTTAACAACGCTATTAATTTCATCAAGGCACTGTTTACAGTTCTGTCCGAGGTTGACGATCGACCTTTGACGGGTGATCCGCTCTCGTCCGCGGATCGAACGATTATCGAATACGATCTCGCGATTTCGGGGGTGGATGAGAAACGGAACGTGGCATTTCAGTTTCAGGGACGCGCGAACGAGAGGGGATTTCGATTGTTCGATCGGTCAAATTTCTCTCTTTTGTCTTTTCTTTTTCTTCCTTTTTTTTCGTCATTTTCCTTTTCGTGTAAAACGTCGGGACGATTCGGTGGTCCGTTTAACGACAAATGTGGGATCAGTCCCTGAGGAACAGAGTCCCGTATGGAATCGCGAACGTTGATCGCGATCTCATCCGCTGAGGACTCTCTCGGGCGAGGCACTGAGAAAGTCTGCAAGGTAGTGCCTCCGTTTTCGAAAGTTCGAGTGCGAGATACGGTGGGGAATGAACAAACGCGTGTACAAAACGAACTAATTGACGTCTAGCAACACTTAACAGTGAAGAGATAATATCGGGATCACGGCAGCCTGACGTTGAGGCGTTCGACGCCAGGGCGGCGTCATCGGTCTTAATGGTGTTAACGCGTCGACAGTGTTGCTAAGAGATTGCAGCTCCAAAGATCTGGGAGACTTGTACAGAGTGTCTTCGTCGCCGTGGCGCATTCACTCATCTTTATCATGCAAAGTTCGATACCCAGAATGAAATATTTCCCATCGCATCGATTGATTTTTAACTGTTTCTCTCTGATGCAGCCTTCTGCAAGTACATTAAAAAATGATCTCCATTCTGATTGTACCAGGACACACTGTACATTCTCCAGTTAATTAATATCCTTAGTTTCCGGTTAGTTTCAAGTTGACATTCGATCCCATATTTCCCAAAGGTACTTCGAAGCACCAGTTTCATTAAAATATTACGAACGAGAAGTGGCTGATAAATATTTAAATTAAATTTAATTCGACTCAAAGGACGATTTTAAAAGATACCTTACACTTAACGTACATATCATAACATCCTGAAGTGTCTAGGATAAAGGTGCTGAAACAATTAGAATCGCGTAAGACACAAAGATTCGAAAACTGAAGTGCAAAACAACAAGTCGCATTACGCACTTCGTGATAACAGATATCGATTCCCCTTTCTCGCAGGGAAATCGAGCAGCGTTCGATTCCCAACAGCGTTTCAACGAAACTGGTACTCACCTACCAAACGCGAGAACCCAGACCCTCGACCAATCGCTTGAACGAACGAGCCGACGCTGCACTCGCGTGCGTCTCGCCCGGAAAATCCTCAACCTACCATGCTCCTCGTATCTACACATTTTAGAAACAGTTTGTGCGCGGATTGGTGACGGCAGTATACAAAGAGACAGCTTAATATTTGTACAGGCGATTAGTCGCCGCTAGTAAAACCGGGTCGCACCCGTCGCGAATACATTCCTCCAAAAAGACAGCGCGTCCCTTGTCGAGGGAGCAACACGGAATAGTTCTCGATCACTGGTCTGTTCAGTCTGTCCAACGAGACGAGGCGTTAAACACGAGCAACAACATTGGTGACTCGTCACAGTTAATGGGCAACTCATTACCGCATTACTCTTCGCAATGATCACCGGTGCTTGAGTCGCACAAAACCAACTACATCGTAAACTCCTTCGAATACATCGACCATTCCTCGCTACTAGTTTCACACAATGGAACAACACTACTCGAACATGCCAAAAGTAGCTTCAATCTCACACATTCCCTTTCAATTCCCAGATCACGTGCACGTCAGCAACCGAACTGATCCGCATACCTGACAGACAATTACCAAACTCTTCCCACTGCCATCGAAGACCAACCACCGCAAAACACTCGATCTCAATGTTTCGGTTACTGTTGCCCCGTCTCTTTACACAGACTACAGAATCCTCCGCAATCCCCTGCGCAGGATCAGCGTTTACAGTCGCGAACACCTTTTCATCTAAATTCGTCATGGGTCTAGGGACGTCGTCGGGGGCACAATGGCGTCCCCGAGGGGCGGGGGGCTTCCTCTTTCGCGGGAATTGGCCCCTTTTCCTCGCGGCGAAAGGGAGACAAAAGGGGTTCAGAAAGGAAGGACGTCTGTTCGAGAACGACGAGGGGAGGACGAGGAGGACGGTAGCTCGCGCGTGCTGCCCATCGATCCTTTAGATCCCGTTGATCCGGTCCTTCTTTCAGAACCCTCGGTTTCCGCGAGATCTCGCGGCGCTAGGGGTTTCCAGCCGGGGTTAGGGGATGGCGGACGCTC